ATGGAATTTCTTGGTTTTTATAATTCAGTTGTGTTTGAATCTAAAGAAAGGTGATGTTTGAGCTGAATCAAAGGCCGCCTGAGACTGATGATCTATTGTGTTTATCTGCGATGCCGAATGATTCTATACTGTTGCTATGTTAAATCTACAACCTTATTTTATTGATTAGGCTAATCTAGCTGAATTAGACAATTCCATGTTATGAACAATGAATGTTTTGGTGACCATCCATTCAGTTGTTGAATAAAACATACATTGGGTGTTAAGTAACATCATCATTTTAAAAACTCGTGTCACAGACGAATACTTTCTGCAAAAGTAAGGGATTTAATCTTGATAAAAAGAAAATACTAGATTTGTTGCTAATTTTGATGATCTCTCTCACTCAGGATCATTGAGAGTAATTCTACCAATTCTAGTTAAATACGTAGAAATAAAGCCATAGGCACTTTTTACATTGTTGGTGACCAAAATCAACATGGGAATATAATGTTTCAGTACGAACTTAGCCTTTGGCCATAACAGGATTTTCTTGGTTCTTCTTTAAAGGTGGTAACTTTGACAGTGCCCAAACTGGAGACTCACTCATCCACAGTGCTTCACGGGTCTCCCTATGCCTGAAGTCAGGAGATTTCGCGCTTGTCTACAAGTGGTTCAAAAACATGATTGGGAAAGTTGAAAATGAACATGAGGGAAGAAATGGAAAGAGGTAAGTGTCTTCAAAGATCTAGAGATGACACGAGCACGATGAATTACCTTGATTAATCTGTTATCCCACCATTTATCCGGATTCTGAACCAAATCATTCCATAATTCCTCTCCTACATCTCAAGACGGCTCGATTTAGAAAACAAGATAGTAACAAAACGTCACATAGCTGCCTAAGACTTGAAAGCAGAACTTACTACTAAGCAGTTTCCTCCTTGGCTGCGAGACAGTATTGGCCATGAGAGGTCGTTCTTGGTTCTTCTGTAGAGGTGGTAACTTTGACAGTACCCAGGTAGGAGAGTTGTTCATCCATAGTACTTCACCAGTCTCCTTATTCCTGAAGTCAGGGGCTTTCGGGTTTGTCTACACGTGGTTCGGAAACAGTATTGGGAAGTCAATAAAGAACATGGGAGGAGATATGGGTAGAGACTAGTATCTTTAAAGATAACCCGGAACACGATCTATTACCTTGATTGATCTGTTGTCAAACCATTTATCTGGGTTCTGAACCAAGTCCTTCCAAGATTCCTCACCTACATCTCATGATAGCTCGTTTCAGAAAACGAGACATTAACAAAAAATCACATTGCCGTCTAAGACTTGATAAAAGGAGAACTTACTTCTAAGTAGTTTTGGTATTGGCTGCGAGACAGTATTGGTCATGAGAGGTCGTTCTTGGTTCTTCTTTAGAGGTGGTAACTTTGACAGTACCCAAGTAGGAGAGTCGGTCATCCAGAGTGCTTCACCAGTCTCCTTATGCTTAAAGTCAGGGGCTTTCGGGTTTGTCTACCATACAGTGAAAAACATTAGTGGGAAGTTGAAAAGAGCATGAGAGGAGAAACGGCAAGAGACTAGTGTCTTCAAAGATAACTTAGAGCGCAATACATTACCTTATCTGATCGGTAGTCCAACCATTTATCCGGGTTCTCAGCCAAATCCTTCCATGATTCCTCTCCTAAATATAAGGACAGCTTGCTTTAGGAAACGCGACCGTAACAAAATGCCACATACCTGCCTAATACTTGCTCAAAAGGAAACTTACCTTTAAGTTGTTTCAGTTTTACTGTAGGGACAAAAACATCAAACTCAAGCCCTTGGAGTTTTGGTAAAACCCAATCAGGAGCCCTGTCGAGCCACAGAGAAGGACGACCATCCTTGCACTTAAAGTCCGGATGTTTTGGTTTTACCTGCAGAGGGGAATATCAATAAACGGAAAGATTTGTAGTCGAACGTGTCAAGTAACATGACTGAGACAAAAACGAATCCAAATTAAAATGCATTTACCAATCCACTTGCTTTATTCCCACGGTGATCCAACCACTCTTTAGGCTTTTCAAGGAGGTACTTCCAAGCATTAGAGGTTTCTTCATCTATGACTTTAACCTTCTTGGATCTTGCTGAAGATACAATATAATCAAACTGTTAGCTTGCAAAAGAGATAGTGCCAAAGAGAAATCACGTTGATCATAGCCGCAGTTTAACAAGTGAGTATCGTAAAGTTTAAGAAAACAGATACACAACATAAGTATTTCCATAGCATAAAAAATCATAAAAAGGACATAAGACATACCAGGCTGCTTCTTGGTGCTGATGTTTTCTTTTTCAGGTGGTGAGATCGTAGCATCCACAAAGTTGAGATTTTGGACCATAATCTGTTATGAGGAACCTTCATATGTAATTATAAACCCAATGAACTAATCATACACAGATTAAAAGGGATGAAGAAGCACACGACGAGACTACGAATCTAGCTAAGTTATATCAAACTTGTGAACACTCAGTTCCTATTCAAAGATCACCTGGACATTGGATTGAGGATACGTCACATTCGAAGGAGGTGAATCTATAAACAGCTTCCCAGACACATGAATCCGATCATCTTTCTTAACATGGTGAGCTGCAATCTTAGCTAAATCTCCTTCYAATATAATCGGAATCCTGCAAAACATTCTCAAATGTTGAATTCCACAATAAACACACCAAACATCAAAAACACATACAAGAATATCAAACTCTGAAACAAAAATCCAATGCAATGTTACCAAAAGTTCGACGATTTTGAAGCGGATCGCTGGGAAATAACAGTTCCAGCCCAGAACTTTCCATCGGAATGAGACTCGAATTGAATGGATTGATCAACGAATCCAATCAGATTAACCCAATTCGCTATTTCCCTTTGGTACTCAATCACCTTCGGTCGAGCCAATTCTTTCTCCGCCGCAACATCCGGCGGAAGCACCGTTGCCTTAGCTCCAGGATTCCTTCCTCCACCGTTGATTTTACCGCTGACGGCGACTGTACATAAACGGATTTGCTGCGAAATGACCCATTTTTGGGTTGGGAGTTTCGCTGCTCTCGAGTGGTAAACTGAGGAACAGACAACTTTAGTCAATGTTCGAGAAATCAAATTCATAGTTTCATACCAACGAGTAGGAATCTGATCTAGACTCTATGCTCCGGTGAATTGTTGCCGGAGAAATTTTAGGGAGATGAGAGAATCGCGAAGATAAGAAAAAGCCCCTAATTTCGGCGCCAAGGGTTTATAGGAGACAACTGAGAGAGTATCCCGGTTTGTGGAATTGGTACATCCGGTTTTTTTTTCCAGATCGAAACGGTTTGGTTTATTCAGTAATCCGGTTTTTAGTTTGGGTTGAAAGAGCCGTACAAAAAAAATTTCGGTTTGGCAATCAGTTCTGAGACGATTTAGTTTGGTTCCTCGGTTTGGCTTTTCGGTTGAATTTTTCAATACATTCGAAA